TTAGTTGCATTGCTCTAAGGTTTGAGCAGGGGGTTTGATAACAAAAAGTAAGTCCAAATTTAAAAATAAAATGTTGGATTACTTTTTATATTTTTTTTACATTGTTTGGTGTCTATCTGCTTTCTTATTTGTGCATATATCAAAGTTTCTATTATCGGGAATCATTTATGTCCGAGTTCACATGCATAAATTAACAGATGCATTTGATGAAATTTAGCATGCATCTGCGGAAAGGGGCGGAGCCACCACAAAAAATTAAATTAATATTTATTACGCACATTTTGGTTGATTTGGTTTTGCACTTGGTTGCACTTCTCCCGCGGACTAGACACGAACATCGAAATGGACAGGGACATGGTTACACCCAGATGAACATCGACATCCATGTTTCATGGACAGCTTGCAAAAATATTTAGTTGGGACAAATAGCAAGTGCTCGACAAACGTTACATGCAAATAAGTTGTAACCGAATACATATACTTTTATTCAGTTATTTACTCAATACTTGTTGTCCTGCTGTCGCTTTTTTAACATTCTAGAAATTTGCATTTGGTTTTGTGGTTTTGAAATTTGCATAAATCAATTCGAAATTATCCACTGCAACCGGTATCACATTTCTAATTATGTTGATAGCATTTTTAGTTTGTTTAATTTATGCAAATGGAACGAAATATGTGCGTGTTTGCAGGAGTCACTGATTAATTGTTTGTGGCGGGTTAATTATTTTTTATAATAGAGAAAAATAAGAGTCGGGGTCACGGGTCACTGCTAGCACGCAGTGCGCCAGTAATTTCCTTTTGTTGTTCAAGTGGCAATTTAATTAAGCTATTTAAAGGCTCTAAATATTAGCAATTAATATTAATGTGACCGCATAAACGCTTGCGACAGTTTACACGATTTAATTATAGATTATGGCCGGCTAATAAATTATTTAGCAGGTTGCCTCAAAGTCTGCGGTAATATTATTTTTTTTTAAATTTTTAAAGAATTTGCAAATAAGCGGACAAAGGGTCTTTTGGTCTTTAAAAGGCTGGTCTAATTAATTTAATATTGAATTGTATTGTTCTTGCACGAAAATTAAGCCTCTTTAGTGCTTAGTTTTAATTTTTTGGAAAATTTCTCCTGTTTATTCCATACATTTCTTACAATCGTGTTTACAGAATTGTTGGCGCCTTGATATGCTATGAAGTTTTAATATATATCAACTTACTCTTGTTTGCTTTTCGCCCTAAGCATGTTAAGGAATTATAGAAATATATTAAAACAATTTTATTGGCATCAATTAGTAAATACCTTGTTAAATTTGACAAGCCTTTACTACTACTACTTTATTATGACAATTTACTGAAAGCATCTCCGGAATGTAATAATTTTATAATGATCAGCCAAGGGTAATTTTAGTCATTTCAGCAATTTAGTCAACAGTTATTGGAAATTGATTTCAATCAGAAGTAAATGCAGAAGTTTGATTTATTTAACCAACGCTTAGTTTTTTGTGCCTACAGTGGTGGCTTCAATGAAATTGAATATGTTTAAAAATAATAAAATTAAACATTTCCATAAACTTTTATACAACTTTCGGATAGTAGTTATGAAATGTTTTGTGTGTTTCTTTTAATTAGACTTAATCTCAAAAATTTGCATACTGCATCCTGGAATCTACTTATTATCCTCACATCTCTGGTTTATTATGCCAATTAAAAGGACTCTAATGCTAATGCGATTTGTGTCTAACAAAACAATATTGTGCAGTGATTACGCAGCACAGTGTTTCCTCTTAATTGGAATCATCTTTTAATTGCCATATTAAGCACGCTCGATAAGTATACGCTGTGTTGTACTCACACACGCACATTCCCCCTCCCCTCGCTTCCTGCAAATACACACACACACACACACTCACACACACAGAATGGTACGCAATTATGCATGAAGACAGCATTTAGTTGAAATTGATTGCTCACCAAGCGGAGACAGCTCTAGTTGAAGACCAAGTGCCGAGAAACACTAACCCCAAGCATTCGATGCATCCTTTGAGGACATCCAGGTGTTGAGATGTGTTTGCCTTTGTGCATGCTTGCGTGTGCGTGTGTATCTGTGTGTGCACTCAATTAAGCATCTTGGCCGACACAAACACACAAATACTGACGACCTGGCCTACACACATTTCCCGACTGCACATGACAGCCACTGGCTCCGTTAATTGATAAACTTGGTTTCGTTAACTTTTCTGTCGAATTGCCAAATATTCTGACATCGGACATTTTGATTGCACAACTGCGAGCAACTGAAATTGAAAAATGTGATCAAACAGTGATACATATATTTTATGAGTGTTCAATTGACACATTTTCACATGTTGGTGAAATTTGTCTGGGAGCTAAAGATCCCTTCTATTTACCGATGTAAAAAATTAAATATTGCCTAAAATATGCTTTAAAAACAAGAATATTTAAAAACAAAACAAAAACATGGTTGACAATTTTGCATTTACTTTTAAAATGATCCGATTACCATTTTTATGCTTGAGATTTTGTAGAAAACTATTTATTGTAATACAGGTTATTATATTATAAAAAATATTAGACAAATTTTAATAAATAAAAACCCGATTGAATTCCTTCAAATTTTCTAATAAACTGCCATAACGAACTTCTGTTTCATTTATTCATAAATGGCTGTGAAACTCAAAGAAACTTTACCTCTCAGCTTCAATTGGAAATAAATCGAAATGCTTGACCCAAAAACCAGGATAAATTCCATTTATTAATGCAAAATTGGAAATTTGTGCTGTGTTTGTGTGCGCACACGTGTGCTCTGGTCGAAGGTCCTGCAGAAGGCAATATCCTCCAAGGGCTCAATTTATTACGATTTTTATGTGGAGGGCGTAAATCAAGAACACAAATGGCATGGAATTAATAAATGAGTCCACATGTGATGAAACATTTGGCTCTATTCAATTTGATTATTATTTTGCTCAAAACATTTCTCTGAAAAGGAAACACAAGGAAAAACCTCAAGCGGCAGGTTTACCCATAAATTTGCTTCCATGGAAGGCACTTTAAATTTATTTGCTTGCTTTAAATTTATTTATTTTGCAGCCCTTTCATATTTTATGTTAATTAAACTTGTTGCCGTGTTTTTGTTGCAACTTGAAACCAATTACGCAGGATGTGAGTGGGCGTTCCCATACACTGACAGTCTGTTATGCTGCTTAATTCCTTAACTCTAACTCCTGGCTGCAGCTCGTTACTTCGTTACTTAGTTTTGACATGATGTGCGGGGGCGGAAAAGCGGGGAAAATCGTGGAAAATCGTGGCGCATGGGGCGCGCTCTGCAAAGCGTGAAATAACTTCCGTTGCAAATTTCATTTTCGTTGCACACATTTTTTATTCACACAAAATGCACAATGCAGACACATGAGATAGGAGAGGGCAAGTGTGTGTTCAGGTCCTTTTGTATATGGCAGCGTTCGCGTTTCAGTTTGAAAGTTTGTTACCCCTTTTGGTAGTAAATGCGTTTTAATGAGCTTCAAATTATGACGGCAAATAAGCTGGGTATCAGTTTACATACTTTGAGCTTCGAAATAGAAAATGGTAAAGGTTATATACACAAACTAGGGAGAACGCCTTAGTCGGGTTTCCTGACTGTTAGATACCTGCTACTCGGCCAACAATTTTTAAACTAAGTATTCCTCCTACAAACCAATCGAAGTTTAGGTGGCGCCATCTATCGAACTGCATAGACAACACAAGAAACTAAGTGTGTGCAGCACCCCCACCCTCCGTTTGCAGTTCAGAGAACTTCAAAACCACATAACTTCTGAAATATTAGCTCGATTTTTAACATCCCAAAACCCAAATCTCTATCTTTTGTACTTTCCGAGATCTCGACGTTCATACAGACGGACGTGGCTAGATCGATTTGTCTATTGATCCTGATCAAGAATATATATCAAGAATATATATATATCGGAAACGCTTCCTTTTACCTGTTACATAATGTTCAATGAGTACAATATAGCCTTTTACTCTACGAGTAAGAGTATAAAAATTAATTTTTCATTACTTTTTTCGAGAATAGTTAATCTTTTAGACAGTTCAACCTGTTTTATAAGAATAACAATTGTCATAACGCTTATTAAATACCTGAAATACCTTTTTTCCTAATGTAAGCTTTATAATTTTAATCGTTAGAGATATGTTTGGAATTATCGACTTAAAAAGGTTATGTTTTCCAATATATGTTAATGTTTATGTTTAATGTTAATATTTGTTTTAAGCCAAAAGTAGGTTTATTTCCAAGCTGTAGAATGGTGGAAATGTTGAACAACTTAAATTAAAATGACTTTGTCAAGTTTTCTTTTATTTTTTTTATTCTTCAACATTTTACCAGGTTTGCAAAGTTGCTGCTATGGAAAAAAAGTGCTGTAAATAATTTGAATTTAAGACTATTTGCTGTTGTTTTTGATGTTTTCCCCCGAAGTTTGTAATTATTTTCTTACTCCGTTTGCCACAAGTGTGAAAATCAGCACAACTTTTTCGTGTGAAGCCATTTTCCTTGTTTTCCCTAGATTTTCGTTTGGGTTCTTTTTGGTTTTTGTTGTGTTTTATTTTTTTACGTTGCCCCAGGACAGTCGCAAAAAGAGAAGCAAAGTTTTTATGGTTGCACAAAGTTGGGTAAGGGTTGGGCTGAGCTTAGGTCCGTCCATTAAAAATGTATAGAAAATAATTTACTTAAATATTCGGTCAGTGGCTTGCAGCTCTCCAACCATTTTTCAATTTTATAAGAGTTCAGCTGGAGTTGGTTTGGGTCTTGGATAATCCGGTGAAACTTTTCTCTCCGCTCGATTGTGCATCCCACCACCAAAAAACGATCAGCTGGTAGGGGAAAACCCACCACTAAAATTGGGTGGTACTGTGTATGTTTTTCTTGTAGAGAAACCTCAGAGAGAGAGGGAGAGAATATTCTGGGGAAAAAGAGTGAAAGGCGCATTGATAACAACTGCGGCTTGTCAAAAACCGGTTTACAGTGTACACTAGATAAAGGTAAATATTTAATTACATTTTGCCAACACGTATTTTAACATACATTCAATTTTAAATTGCAATAGTTAAACAAATATTATACACAAGTTCCTTAGAATGTATCGTTCAGTATTTTGAGTGAGCCCTGTACTTTGTTTGTTTATCGCGTGTCTGCTGTCTGGTTTCCGGATTTCCTATGTTTAGACTGCACTGACCGATTGCAGAGTTCACACGTCACGTGTTCACGTCATATCACTACTAAATATAAGAACAAATTTATAAAAATAAATCATGGCTACAATGGATGATTTTTTTAATAAAGTGCAACGGAAGCATCCCACTATTCTTGATGACTTAAGGGCAATTTTCAAAACCTCCCAGAGTGATTCACCGCAGCGTTCAATAACCCTGTCTCAAATACGTGGCAAGTATTCCCCAAATTCGTTGCTTAGGTAAAAACATATAAATTTTAATTGCCCATTGCAGCTGCCTACAGTCAACGAACTGGCGAGGATTTTCCCGTCAAGGGAAGCACGCGAACACAAATGTGTTTCGTCCTGACAATCTCTTATGTCGCCTGTTTTACCAGCCGAATTGGCACATTGCGATTTTTCACCATTGATGCAAATCAGGAATAAGGAAGCATTTATACCCATATCTAGTCATCCGCGTGCAATTTTCGTATACATTTTCTATATAATGCAATACTTTTATTTACAAAATAAACACCTAAAGTAAAGAATATAAAAACAATGGAGGTATTTTCATATACATTTATTATATAATGAAATTCTTTTATTTACAAATTAAGCATTGATAGTAAAGGGGATATAAGCTTTCATTTTTATTTTTAAGTATGAAAAAATGTATTTTTAAATTAAAAACAAGAAAGGAAGCGAAAGCAAGCCAACGTTAATATACCCTATCAATTTTGGCAAAAATTAAATATTATTGAAAAAAATTGAATTTCGATTTATATTTATGTTTAAAAAATTTAAAGTATGACTTTCAGTTCAATTATTCGATCGTTCCTACGGCATGTATGGGATATTATTTCGTTTTCCGATTTGAATAAAATAAAAAGCGTAAGTCTGAATTATCAAATTGTTTCTATGTCCAATACTATTTTTAGTTCAAAAATAGAGAAATTAAAAAATAAAATTATATGAAAAACATCTGCGAATGAGCCGATGGCTCATTTCAAACTGATGATATCAGCATTTAAAATTTTTTTCACCACTTACATCAAGGCCTCAGCAATTCAAATTAAATCAATAGCTAGCGCTGCAATTGCATGGGCTATCAAAACAAAATAAAGAATATTTTTATTTCAAAACGGAAATATCAAGGAAGAAGAAGTGTTCATTTATGGTTTATGGTTTGGTCACTCATGGGTTTAAAACTCAATAAATTAAATGTATAAGATATCTTATCGATACTGCCCGTATAGGTAAAATCTACACTTATTTATATACACACCCAGCGAAATTTCATGGCAAATCCAAATATTTTTCTTTTTTACTAAATATATTCGGTACTGACATAGCCCCGAGGGGTGTTGTCCTTAAATCGAAGTGTATTACACTTTAATTTTTTTTTTTTAAGTATGGAAAGATGTAGTTTTAAATTAAAAAAAAATTAAATTAATTTTTCGTTTGGATTAACCAATTAATTATGTTAATAAGTACATAATCATCTTTTATAGCCATTGAAAATTTATTATGCGTCGACTTAAATAAATTATGTGCACTTCCGCAAACTTTTGTTCGACCAACGCCGAAAACTTCCAATTTCAATTTAAATGCCATAAGCTTCTGGTTTTTGCTCTGCAGCTGTCAATTGTAATTTGGGCCATGGCTGAAATCAAACGGCAACGACAAACAGCGGCGGGAAAATCGGAAAACCTCAATGCAAACAAAGAGACAACGACGAGTGACAGCTTGTTGTTGTACGTATGCACATCAAATCAAATGTATTTGCTGCGGCAGCTTTGTGATGCAAGCAAAAACGAGAAAAAGTGGAGCAGCCAAGGCAAACAACTAACAAACCAGCAGAAAACAAACGAATTCCGAGGTTACAGTTTTAGTTTGCAACCGGAAAGTCGGGTCACGCAGTCGCAGGACCCAAAGCAAAGCATAATGAAACTAAATACCGGGCGAAGGAGTAAAACCCCAAAACAAATTCATTACGGAACTACACCTCAGGGGGTGATAATTCGATTCAGCGAAACTTTGGTGATTATTTATTGCTTCATGCAGCGACTCCGAGGCTCTGACTTTGACTTTCTCCCTGTGGCTGAGTTCTGGGTTTTTCGGTGGGGTTTTGTCTGGTCTTTCTGGTGGTTTGGCCCAGGCCCCTTGGTGTTTTGCTGTTGGTGTCATAAAATGTTTTGTGGCCCAAAACTCGGCACTAGAACTCATTATTTTGTTCATTAACACTTTTTTTCCGGATGTGTTTTGCCCTTGTTTCATTCCGCTTGGTTTTTACTGTTTTTTTCTTTTTGTTTTTGTGGCTAGGGTATAAAAAGTTAGGATATGGTATGCCAGTGGGTGGAATATATTATCTAATAAAGCAGGAAATTTTTCTTTTGATAAACTTTGGATTACACTGGTTCAAATAATATAATATCAGTAATGTTCTGCTTTAAAAGTTCCATGTCATACATATTTGTAATAAAAACACATAACAACAATGTTTATTATACTATTTTTATCAAAACTAATTTAATTTCTGTTAAATTAAAATAATAGTAATTACACGCTAAAATATTTTAGTATTAGTTTCTTACATGTTTTGAGAATAGCACGGGTATTTAAAAGTCCGTCAAGAAAATAGTTGTCTATCTACTTATTTATGCCCTGGTCCTGGAGTTCTCGTCTCTTCATGTGGATTTCCTCTAGGACTATCAATTAAATTTTGTATCTGACTTTGTTTACTTTGTGCTTTTGGCTTGCCCATTTTTTGTTTTTGCTTGGCAAATTTTATTTATGTGCCTTAAAATATACATTCCGCAAATGGTTTCAAGTTTATTTTTGCATACAGTTTTTGTTGTTAGCTTTTAGTTTTTCATAGCCATAAACATTTTTTATGCTTCATTAAGGTTTTGTTTTCGCTTTTCCTTTCCATTGTTGTTTTGTTTTGGGCTTTTTTTGGGCCGACTTATCAGTCGCCAATTTGAAATGTTGTTAACTTTTACTAGCGGCGGCTTTAACTCATCAGAAGGGGGCTGTTTTTGGTTCGCAGATCCTTGACTTTGTTGGTTATGGCATTTTGCTGAGTTATAAAATGCTATCGAGGGCGCAGGTTTTTATGTCTCAGGGTCAGATAAATGTGTTTATAGCGTAATCTTTTATTTCGGCTCTTTTGGCAAAATGCGTTGGGTCCACATCCACATCTACGTCGACTGCCGTCTAATTTCTGCGGTCTTTTATTTCTGCGACCCACTGAGTTGGGTCGACGGCTGAATAGAATGTTTATGACATGCATACGCAGCGTGGGACGTAGTTAGGAGAGATTTGTCGTGGGATTAGACAAAAAGTTAAGAGCTGGTCATTAAGCAGCCCAGGCCGTTCCATATATTTTGCTAGGAATTAGAAAATTGAGCGCACAGATAGAGGCCCGGACATTAATTAACAGAAACAGATGAATGTTAAGGGCTTCTGGGAGGAAAAGGAATAATTTCCATACCATAACAATACAAAATAAAACAGATATATTGAAGGAAAGTAACTAAGCCAAAGAAACAGATAACAAGCTTATAAATAAGCTGAGAAAAAAGCGAAAAAAATGAAGCTTGTGAACTTTAATGTTATATAATTGAATTAAATAATTTGCTAAAATTTTACTCGAAGTACAAAACCCATAAATACATTTCTTAAAAATACTTAAGTAACGAACTAAACAGTCGCATGTCCAAGTGATTTCCATATAATCGATATATTTGTTTAGCCAATAAAAATTGTGATTGTGAGATGAAGCATATTGGTTGAATTCTGAAAATAAGAAAACAAAACTTATAATAAAAATTCGTGTTATATTTTGCCCTACATACAACTCCCACCGCTGTTTAATATTGGGCAGTAGAAAACTTGTAACCGAAGATGAAAAGTTTACATTCACAGCAAATTTAGCCAGCTGGCAATTGCTGCGAAGTGTTTATGGTGGCTCCGCTCCTTCGTCCCCACCCTCCCATCAGCATTCCGCTCTAATCGCTTCTAATAACGCACAAAATTGAAAAACTTATGCGATATCATTGGGGACTCAAGCCGCACGACAAGTGCAGCTGCCCTGAGGGGGGATTCCCCAAGAACTGGACCCGACAACTTGTGACAACTTAAAGCACATGAGGCAGGGTCGGCAAAGTAAACAGAAGTAAGGACACAAAAAAGAAGAAGGACTGCTGTTGTGGAGTTATTCGACCCAAAGATACCCAAGGAATTTCTAGAAAAAAGTGTAGTACCTATTATAGGAAAGATAATAGCAACTAAAATTAACTTGCGGCAAAAAACTGACCCAGAAAATTGTAAATTTTAGCTATCTCGTATACTTTTTAGGTATATTTTTCCAAAACAAAAGGACTAAAAGCTTAGTCATTGTTGTATCATTGTTATATACCCACTTAATACCTACATATATATTATATGGATTATAAAATAAAGATTACAATTATAGTAAATTATCGAGAAAATAGGTTAAGGCAAACACTTTTGTATAAAATAAATAAAATAGGCAAATACTCACATATACCACAATATATATATATACAATATAGGGTTATTTTATACATTTTTTTAGGATCTAAATTAAATATTTTCAATTTGAACCACTTAAAGAAATTTATTGTATACCTCTGAGCTCCAAGAGTACCACGTATTCTTGAGAAAAAGCGGTTAAGAAAAAAAAATAAGTAACAGGAGGAAAACTGTCATGATATGCCCGTAAACATAGCCAGCTGGCCAGGATTGAGCCGTCGGATTGGTTCGGTTCGGTTTGGTTTGGTTTTGTTTGGTCTGGTGACGGTTCAGTGAGGGTGTCCTGTCCTGGTGTCCTGGTATTTGCTCGGCTCTGTGTGTCACTTTGGAAATTGTGCAGATTGTACATTCGCAGGGCGTGCGGCGTCTGTTTGTTTTAATTTCTCTTATCGGCAGTCAGCTGCCTTGTGTGGCCCACCCACAACATTCCGTGCTGGAAAAGCTCCTTTTTCTTTGCCATCTACTTGGGAGCGGAGCGGAGCTGAGCTGAGCCCCTTCTGCCCGGACTCCCCAGTGCCATACAATTTTAATTGCACAATGGCAGGTCCTTTTGTTTTCTAGCTGCAATTTTTTAAAATGAATTCATGGCCTGGCCGGGTCTCCGGGTTATTCTGGCGCTCTTTTGTTTGACGTCTCAAAGTCCGTAAGGAGTTGGCCTGGCCGAGAGTGAGCTCGCTGGCTGAGCAGCCAGCTATTTAATTGAAAGTTGCTTTGTGACTCCGCCGGGTAAGCTAATAAAATGTTTAACTTTGATTTAGACGAGGGATTTCTAAAATGAATGCACTTAAAGTCGCTTTAGCGACTCACTTGGGCTGAAGTAGGGTCATTATTTTTTATTACCTTCATTTTTAAGTTTAAATACAATTTCCAACAGCAGATGAATTTTTTGTCTCTACCAGCATCATTATATTAAACCATTTTGATTGCTTATACATACATTTTGAACATTAAAATGTCTTATTTTGCCATTAGCTATTAAGATAAATAATGTAACAATGCAAGAAATCTAACAACAATATTGATTTCAGGGTAACACAACACAACCAATATCATTATTCTCCACCAGCATTTTCTGAATCAAGTACAAAAACAATAACTTTGAATTTATTTAAACTCTGGTAACGAATACAGCCACTAATCACACCTTAAAACATAGATT